CGTTGGGCCTCGGTAAGGGGAAGGGCCCAGAACCGCCTCCTGCTGGTTGTGTGGCTGCCGGTGACCCCGGGGAATTGTGAATGAGGCACCCAGGGGGTCATCCCTCGTTAGCTGGAGGACACGGTGAATGTGTCCAACTCCCCGTGGACTGCTAATACCATTAGTACAGCTGCTTACCCAATAGGCACTTGATAAGACAACAGAGGGCTTAGAAGTCTGCAAACCTTGAGGGGAGGGAAAGGTGGTTATGAGGAGCCCAAGGAAGGGCCTGGTGACCCTTTGCTTTCTGCCCAGCACTGTTTTCTTGTTAGACAGTTGTGTTCGTTCTCGAGTCTACCATCCTGGATGGAGATACAGTTGAGAGAGGGTGTAGGGACAGTGGGGCATAGAGAGTGCTGGGTGAAGAATCAGGAGGCTGGAGGCCCTGTTGGCACAGTAAGCTTTGTGACCTTGGGCAAGTCCCTTGATTTCAATGAGTTTTATGATTATGCATTGATGTGCTTTTTTATGTCTATAAAAAATAAGTTTAATAAAAATAGAAAGACCATTCAGACAAGGGGAGCCAAAGCCCGGGGGCAGCCCAGGAACCCACACCTGCCCCAGAAGGAGAGCTTGGACAGTTGGAAGGAGGGGCAGTGGGCATGCTCCTCAGATGACCCCGCCCATTAGCCAATGTTGAGGCTAATTGTTAATGACAATATGATTTGTCCTACCAGTGTCTTTTGATGACCTTTTTTAATAGTCGTCATGCCTTACATATATCCTCAGGACTTATTTATCTTACACCTGGAAGTTTGTCCCCTTTGGCCCCCTTCACCCTTTTCACCCTCCCCACCCACCCCCACCTCTGGCAACCACTAGTCTCTTCTCTGTGTCTGACTACTTCTTCTTTTTAAGATTCCACATACAAGTGAGATCATACAGTATTGTCTTTCTTTGTCTGACTTATTTCACTTAGGATGATACCCTCAAGGTCTATGTTGTTGCAAATGGCAAGATTTCCTTTTTTTATGGTTCAATGATACACACACACACACACACACACGCACACACACACAACCCAGGATGGCCATTTTCAAAGGCAGCAATCAAATAAGTAATCTTATAAATAAGTGAAGTAATCCAGATGCCAAGCCCCACGAAGAGGATATATGTAATGATTTGGGAATCTGTTGCCCCATCTCCGGCCTCACAGTTCCTCTGTCAGCACCCCCAGCCCCCACTCTAGGGGTGTAGCTCTGGCTGCCGGCCCCTCATTCCTTTCTCTGGGGTCTCTGGACTTACGGCCATGGCCTTGAACTTTCCCAATCACAGCGAGGCCCCTGGGCACGGCCTGACCTTCCAGGGCCTCCTTGCTCCTTAAGGGAGCATCGAGGAGATGAAGACCTACGGGTTCAAGTCCCATTGTGGTTTTCGGAAGGCCTTCTAGGGATTCCACTGTGAGGAGTCCTTCTGTATAATCAAAGAAACCCCTAAGAGTTACATACAGGTCCGTGTAGCCAGCAGCATGGGCCCCTCCAGGTAAGCTGGTTTGGTACAGTACGAGAATCAAAGCATGGCTTTCAAGGCCCAGGGAAAGACTGTCCCCATAGTGGTCATTTCCCCAAAGTCATCCCCTCTTGGGGCCGAATATTCCAATGCCTTCCCTGGTCCTCAATTACTGGCGGTTCAAAATCTCCCTCCATCCTGCTCGCTGTGGAGACAGCTCACCCCGGTTTGCTTTCTAGCTCTCCGTCCTGGCACAGCATGGGAGGGTCCTGCTGCTCTGACGCTCCCCTCCCGGCCTGTCCCCACCCGGCCCTCGCAGGCGCGGCCACCTCCTGTTGGCGACAGCCGCTACTAGGAGGGCCCTCCAGATCTTTCCCGCGTCGCCGGCACGGCAGCTGCTTTACAATACAATGCACAATCTGGTCCTTAGCAGCAAACGAATAGACTTCCAAAAAAAAAAAAAAGAAAAAAGATCACGTCCAGACATTTCTTTCTGTTCCCGCCATCACCGTCCGGGCTGCAACCCCCAGGCCCCACGGAAGAACTGAGAACCGCGGCGCGCCCGTTACTTCCCTGCGGCTGCCGTGCGCGTCTAGGGACAGCAGGGGGCGCGAGGGAGCCGATCCTGTCCCTGCCCCGCGGGCTGCACACAGAAGCCCGGGCAGGAGTGGGGGCTGCTCTTGGCCTGGGAAATGCGTCTGTCCCCCAGTGCAACCTTCTGGGCCTGGGGGCTTTGAAGGCCCGCTGTGCCCAGAGCCTAGACGAGGCGGGTGGGAGGGGAGGAGAACACCTGTAACAGCCCTGGGAGGCAGAGGGGTTGCCCAAGGGCGGGGCTGGACTTCACGGGCAAGGTGCTGCGGTGAAGCTGGGCCCTTAGCCACATCTGGTGAGAAGTAGACAGAGTGGAATGGGAGCCCGCTGGTCTTTTTTTTATGATATACTTTCTATTAATAACCATTTTGTGGATCGTGTAATTGGGTTAGAATTTCCCTAATTTGTACGTGCTGTATGAAAAGCGGGTATTTGTATCTGTTAGTATTTTTACCATTCACACCACAGGCCAATCCTGGAAGCACCGTGTAGAATCAATCCATTTTTACAAAATGCAGCCATGATGTAAAAGGACGCCTGGGAGGCCTCTGCCTGAAAGCCAACTGCAGTGACGGATCAAGGGCAGAACGCTTTCAAGTGATACTCTCATCTGTCTACTTGGCTTGTGTTTGGGAAGTTCGCAGCGGCTCCCAGGGCTGGGGCGAAGCTGGCAGACAACCCCGGAGCGGGAGAAGCCACGTGCCTGCTGGGTTTTGGAGTGGGATTCTGCACCACGTCACTGAAATCCCCAGCCGTACAGGTGGTCCCCAAAGTCTTCCTGCAGGCTGAAGCCACAAAGAGCTCAAAACTGGACTCAAACTTTTGGGACACCTTGAACACTGAGTAGAAATTGCAGAGACCTCGGGGCCATAGGGAGCAGCGTTCAAATCCTTTTGTGAAGAAGTCCCTCTTTTTCGTGGTTGAGAAGCTTACGTTCCCATCCTGGTTCTATCAGTCAGTAGCTGTGGGTTTTTGCAAAGCTCCCTAACCCTTCAGGCTGCAGTTTCCTCGTGTCTAAAAAGAGGCAGTGGCGTTAGGTTCTTAGATGAACTCAAAGTTCTTTTTCAGGGTCCAAGAAAAACTCAGGTGAGGTCTCACATGCATTAGGCATTTGAAGCAGCTATGGGGAAAGGGGCTGATGAGCACTGGGAAATCATGCAATGAGAGATCCTGGGCCCCACTGTCAACAATTGGTTGACTTTTTCACGCTCCCTCCACCGCACCCCCAGCTGGCTTTAGGGAGACTTAGCCTATGCAGACATAGTCCCTGTCCCTCCCTTGGGCCTGATCATCTCCGGGGAGGATCTGAATGTGCACATTTGGTGGCTATAATTCTTTCCTCTTTTTATAGCTTCTGTTGGAAAGGCTCTAGTCCCAAAGGATAGCTTGACTCCGAAATTTGGGTTCTTTTTTCTTTGAAGACCATCAAAGCCCTGCTGCTGAGCCTTGAGGGGTTCACCCCTGAGGTTCTGGAAAAGAGCAAGATGTGGGGCCCTCATTACGAAGAAAATAAAAGCTCATGTTCTCGACCTCGAGTTGTTGCCTTGTTGACACAGATCGGTGTGTTTACTCCAGGTCTTCGAGACCCCTGGCTGTTATTATGAAGAAAGAAGACTTCTGGGCATAGACAGAACCACGGGAAAAATAAGAATTGTCATCTACTGAGCTCCATCAGTCAGGCCCTGTACTAGGTTCTTTACATTATGGTACCTCAGACAAAGACTTGGTGACGCCGCTGTCTCTGTTTTACAGACGAGGAAACTGAGGCTCAGATATATTAAAGAGCCATCTGAGGTTGCAGCAGAATTGAAACCCAGTTCTCCTAAAGACAGCTGGACCCATCCCAGGGAGCTTTGGGGAATCCACCAGACGATGGGAGTGGAAGGGACTGTGTTCCCAAGTGGCCAATGGGAAAAAGCATTAAACCAGAATAAGGGAGGCAAAAAGCAAAGCCCTTCTTTTCAAAATTCATGGGTCGCAGTGAAAATGTTTAACCTTCACTGTGAGTTTTCCTCTCCTCTCTGAGACCAGAACCCGGGTCCTGGGGCATCTTAGGGAGGGGAGGCTCTCCCACAGGTTGGGGCTATTGAACTCTTTGGTGACTTCAGCACTGGGTGGGGCTGTGTCCCTTTGTTTAGTGCTGGTAGCTTCTGAAGTCCGTAGGGGACCCACAGGACGAGAGCTTCTGAGCCCCACCGTCACATATCAACACCTCCTCTTCCCCTCGGTAAACCAGCTGCCTGACCAGAGCCTACAGGTGTTCGTTCTCTCCGCCAGCACCGAGATGGATCGATGGATGATGCCAGGGGATGGCCATCGCCACAACAGTGTCTCCATAAAGAAGGAGCCGATTGCTCTTTTGAAATACAGGCAAAGTATGGGGGGAGTTAAGACCCTGGGTTCTGCCCTTCCTGGCCTTTGGCAGGAGGGACTTACTTTCTCTCGCTTCTGCTTCCTCTACCATCAAGCGGAGGTGATGATAGAATACCTGAGAGGGCTGTTGGGAAGGATTCAAGGAATTGCTACGTCCGAAGCCGTTCGAACAGTGCCTGGTGCGTGATACTAAATGCCAGCTATGATGATTTCCTCCCTGTGTAGTTACACATAGAAGTTCTAGGGGCTTTACAGAAATGTACATTAAACTGTCACTTACAGGTATTAACTCCATTTTGTTGAGAGAAAATGCAAGTTCATAGAGGTTAAATGACTGGACTCTAGTTTTTATGAACTAGTTCAATGTTCTTTTCACTACATCAAATGCCTCAATTAAGATTAAGACAAATATACGTGTGTGTATATGTGTGTGCATGTGGTGTGTGTGTGTATTCTTAAGTGTGACCCTTTGCTGATAATCAAACATTCCCCGTTTTCTATTATTTAAGAAATTAAATAGGATGTTTACTGTATTAAGAGCGTCTCACCTTCGGGAGTCTGTACTTTTCTCTGAGATGAACTCTGAGGCATGCCCTCTCTGCCTTTTTTTGTGTAAATGCAGCATCTCTTTCCATCCTAAAAGTAAAAGAATAGAATAAGGGATCAAAGGACTTAGAGGGTAGAGGACATTCCAGTCCCTGCACAGAGGAGCCGGACACTGGGATAAAGCTTCCTACGTCCCCAGACACCTGCCTCTCTTTCCGTCATTCTCCTGTCATGACTCAAGGCAGACCCCTAAATCCCAGAGACGGCTTGGTTCTGGGAATCTCCTTAGGATGCAGCCCAGGGAGGGGCAGAGTGACTATTCCTAGTATATAGTTGACCTCCCAGGGTTGCTCTAAATAGAACCTGGGGCCACAAACATCAGAATCCCAGGGGATAATACCCAGCTGGGTAAGAATGCAGCTTCCTGGGTGTGATCTCAGACTGACTCATCAGAACCCCTGGGGGCGGATGAACGGAAGCTATGTTTTTAACAAGTTTCCTGAATGATTCTTAGTGAAGTGAAAACAGGGTCAGAGCATCCAGGGCTGGGGGATCCTTTAGAGGCACATGGTATTTAGGGATGTAGAGAAAGCTGTTTCCCTTCATTGTCACCCCCTCCGGGCCCCAATTTTGGTACAGCGTTCCGTTCCCTGTTTGGAAGGAGGCACCCCCAAACGGGGTAGGGTAGATTTCCATAATGCTCTGGGGATGACCTAATTGGACTCAGGGTTAGGCTGGGTTGAAATGGACTCCCCTGCTCACAGTGACCGAGGCAGGAGCAGACAACCTTTGGGGCAGGTGCATTACGGGGGCCTCCATTTATACACACGGCCCTGCCCTCTGGCTGTACCAGACTGGCCCCAGCTGGGTACATGAAATCCTTTCTCTGAGAGTTTGGGACCGGGACCGAGAAAGACAGACATTCACTGGGAAAGGTGGACTTGAAGGCTGTGGGCTGCCATGTTCCCCAGGCCACGGGGTCAGGGTGGCACGGTGAGGAGCGGTGACAGCTGAGAGGCAGGAACAAAAAGCAGCCATACTGGGGACAGGAGTGACGGCAAGAGCCAAGAAGGAGCTCACGGCTGGCTTGCCACATTATTCTGGTTCCTAGGTTAGGCCCCTGTGAGGCCTGGTGGGGTTTCTTTTCTTTTTTTTTTAATACTTAAATTATTTATTTATTTATTTATTTATTTATTAAAGATTTTATTTATTTATTTGACAGAGAGAGAGAGACAGTGAGAGCAGGAACACAAGCAGGGGGAGTGGGAGAGGGAATCCGATGCGGGGCT